CCCTTAACTCCATCTCCGTAACCCATAAATACACCCTTATTTGCACTTGGGTTCAGTTTACCCCCACCCACATGATAATAAACAGGACATCCAAAAACTTTCACTGAAGAGTAATCAGCAAGCTTACCATACCACACTTCATAAGGAGTCTTACACTCGATACCTGTTTGAGGTCCACGGTTGATCATGAATCACGCCATGTTTACTGCTTCTGTCAAGAATATTCTCTCTAGTCCAACATTAGAGAGCATGCACCGTGCTCTCTCCAACAATGTCTGGTTTATCCTTTCTACAACGCCATTCTGCTGGCGTGTATCTCTAACGTTCCGATGACGGGCAATCCCTTTATCCTTGCAGAATTCGTTGAACTCAGAACTCCAGACCATTGTCCGTTCGCAGCTTCTTGATCTTCTTCCCGGTCTGATTCTCCACCAATGTCTTCTACTGCTTGAACTTCGTGAAAGCCTCACTTTTCGGCCTCGTCATGAAAATCCAAGTAAATCTCGAATAATCATCAATAATAGACAGAAAATACCTGCTGCCTCCAATGGATTCAACTCGTGAAGGACCCCAACAGTCGGAATGGAGGTAATCCAGTATCCCCTTCGTCTGGTGAATACCCTTCTTGAGAAACTTGCTGCGATGTAGCTTCCAAACACACAATGCTCACAGAATTTCAAATTCTGCATCTTGTGCCCGCAAAGAAGATCCCTCTTCGACAGAACTTGCATCCCTCGTTCACTCATATGCCCTAGTCTCATGTGCCAGAGAGTGGTCATATCATCCTGATGAACCTGAGACGATGCAACTGCAGCATAACAAACAACACAGACCCTTGTAACATACAAGGTCCCACGCTTCACGCCCTTCAACACCTTCCTTGAACCTTTGCAGACATACACAACTCCACATTTTCCTTTGAAGCTGAAACCCTTGCTGTCGAGTAGACTCAAGGAGATCAGGTTCTTTGTCATTCGTGGAACATTCCTGACATCATTCACGGTACAGAATGAACCATCATGTGTCCGAACCTTTATGGACCCGATTCCAACAACCTTGCAGATAGCTCCATTTGCCATGACCACGTTACCACTATCTATCTTCTCGTAGGTTATGAAGTAATCCATGTTCGAAGACATATGGTATGAGGCTGCAGTATCCAGAAACCACACATCCCCACGATGTGCCTTCTCATCTACAGCCAATGCGAGATCGTCTTCAGAACTGTTGTCTACTTCTGCCACGCCACGGCAACTAAACCATGTTTGTTATGTTGCCCTCTTCTCCTGGGACAGTTGTACTTCCAATGCCCCACTTTCTTACAGTTATGACAAGCATCACCTTGCTGTGGACCGGGACCCTTGGAATTCTTGTTCGAATTCCCTTTACCAGATTTCTTCTTTCCCTTTCCACATGTAACAGCCAAACCCGATGCCTCACCACCTGTACCAGATCCAGACGCCTTATGCCTGATCTCTCTCGTATGAAGAGAAGACCTGACGTCCTCCAACGACACGCTTTCTTTACCGGCAATAAAAGAATCAATGAAATTCTCATATGAACTCGGCAAAGAAACCAGAAGGATTAGGGCAGCATCCTTGTCATCAACTTGAACATCTATATTACGCAGATCCAACAAAATAGAGTTAAGCTGTTCGAGATGTTCCCTCAAAGGCGTACCTTCTTGCATCCTCAAGCTGAACAACCGTTGATTGAGATGCAACTTGTTGGTTAAGGACTTTGTCATATACAGAGTCTCCAACTTTAACCTCAAGCCCGCGGCAGTCTTCTCAGCAGCAACTTCAATGATGATGTCATCAGACAAAGATAGCATGATGGTCGAGTGGGCCTTCTCCTCCAGGGTATTCCACTCATCGTCATCGACCGCTGCCTTCTTCTGTTTTGCAGACAGCGGCCCCCACAGCCCTTTCTGTTTCAATAAAGCCTGCATTTTGATCTTCCATATAGCAAAGCTGTTCTTCCCTGTGAACTTTTCACTGACATCATTCTTCTGAATCGAAAAACCCTAGCTTGATTTCCAGCCGCGGCTCTGATACCACTTGTTATAAACGCGCTGCTACGGATCGGAAAATCGCCGGATTCGATAAAGCAAGAATACAAAAGCGAGAATCAAAAACACAGACACACGATTTACGTGGTTCACTAACATAATGTGTGTTAGCTAGTCCACGGACGAGAGAGAGTCAGTTTCACTATATCGAGGAGATTACAGATTATAGAGGAGTATAGAAGTATTTATATTACTTCTCCTAGGTCTAACCCTAATCCAATCTAGTAAAGGAAAACGGTTACAGACCAGGCCCAGAACCGAAACCCAAATAACATTGAGCCCGTACACTGTGGCAGCGAGACCCCCGACTACTAGTTGTAGCGACTGATAGTCTGATTCAAGTCACATCAACAAGTACTTTGAATATTGTTCTCGTACATGTAGATGTGATCCCAATTGGTTGCAAATGGGTCTACCAGACCAAATTTCTCTCAAATGGTGAGTTGGAAAAGTTCAAAGCCAGACTAGTTGCAAAGGGGTCCACTAAAACTTATGGTGTTGATTATGTTGACACTTTTCCACCTTTTGTTAAGATGGGATCAGTTAAACTACTTTTGCCCTTGTTGCCATCAAAGGTTGGCACCTTCATCCAAAGGATGTCAGCAATGCTTTCTCACATGGTGACTCCTATGAGCATTAAGAATGCCCTATATGATTTGAAGAGAGCTAAGTCACCTGCAAATTAAGGTCTGTAAGTTAAACAAGTCCCCATATGATTTGAAGCAAGTCAGTAGAAAATGGTATCTCAAGTTAACATATGTCTTATCCAAGTTTGGCTTTCAGCCGACATATGATGATTATTTTGTTTCTAGAAGTAAAACTGTGATATTGGTGATTTATGTTGATGATATCATCATAGAAGGACCTTCTTTGGATGACATTAACACTACCAAGCAGCATTTACAAAAGGGTTTCAAGGTCAAAGGTCTTGGTAACCTCTGATACTTTCTTGGCTTAGAAATAGCAAGAACTGACAAAGGGATATCTTTATCCCAAAGAAAATTTTGTCTTGAGATGCTGGAGAATGCTGATTTTTTAGTGCAAGCCAGCTAACTCCTATAGCAAGAAGACTTCCCTTTTTGCAAGTGATGGAGTTTTGTTGGAATTTTAATCTCATTTTAGACACCTAGTAAGATAGTTGTAGTATTTTATCTAAACTAGACTTGACATCTACTTTGTTGTATAACAGCTCTGTCAGTTCCAAGATTGTCCCAATATAGTGCATTTGAAGGCTCTGCACAAGATACTCAAGTATCTAAAAGAAAGTCTGGGAAAAGATCTATGGTTCCCATCTTCAACTTCCTTACAGTTGAGTGGTTATTGTGATTCGGAATGGGCAACATGTCCTGATTCCAGGAAGTATGTGACTCGTTATTGCACTTTCTTGGGGAATGCACTAGTCACATGGAAGAGAAAGAAGCAAGGAACTGTGTCAATGTCATTTTCAGAAGCATAATATAGAGCTCTTGCACAATTATCATGTGAAGTCCCGTTGTTAAAGACATTTATGAATTTCTATCAAGTGTTGCATCCAAACCAATTCATATATAATGTGATAATCAATCTGCAAGATATATTGCAAAGAATCTCGTCTTTCGTGAGCGAAGGAAGCATATTAAAATTGATTATCATGTGATACATGAAAGATTGAAGTCGGCGCTCATTAATCTTACTCACTTCAGTACTGAGTTTCAACTGGAAGACTTGTTCACCAAAGGTTTGTCAGTCGATCTATTTAAGCTATTGTTGTCCAAGCTGAGAGTACATGACATGTAATCGCTAGCTTGAAGGGTCGTATGAAGCAAAGTGTTTGGTTAAAGAATGAAGAAGTTGAAGAAGAAGCCCTCTGCAGATGAGACTACAATCGGAGAAAACAAAGAAATGAATTGAGCTTTATTTCACTCAATCAAGACAACAGAAGGATTTACACCCGACGTTGTTTTACTAAGTGGTAGCAGACCCTGCAAGCAAGACGATGTTGTATAGAGACTCGTAGTGTTAGTTAGCTAATTAATATATATTAGACACGTGGTTAGCTTTTATTGCTTAGTTTAATTTTATAGTTGTAAATTAGCCGTTTGTGTACAGTTAATCTCATTATTCATACATAATGAGAAACTCATAGAGGAAGAGGCAAGACGCCAAATTCCACAAACTCTATCTTCTTATCCAAACCCTAGCATTCATGGCGACTAGGTTTACACCTTCCTCACCTGCTATTCTTCAAATCTAGAAATACAAGACTTGTAGTAACAAACATGCTTTGGAATTAAAACGACCTATAATACTGTGGCGGTGGCGATATTTGACAGAGACAGAGAGACGGTGACGATGCGAGTTTCGTTACCTTTGTTTTACAGAATAATTGAATGAGGAAACAAATTATGATTTCAGTGGAGAGATTTTGACCCTGAGATTGGATCGACGACGGAGTTGTCGAAAGTCCTTCTAGTGAGTCCGTCAGAGAGGAAGGTGAATGACGGCAAACATCTTTCTTTTGCTTTGCGTTTCTGTTTTTGACCAAAAAAAAAAGTTTAACTTGAATTAAAGTGAAAGTTTTTAATAAAATAAAACAACTACCACAGACGGAGCAAACGAAAGAAGGAAATTGTTTGGTCAAGTGGGGTTAGGATTACTTATAATGGGTCAACCGATTTGGGCTCCAATCTATTCAACCTAGCCTATGGAACATCATTATCTACTTAGACTAATAAGAACCTGCGTCACCGTCACTAGTATCACAATTTTTTCAGTGCCACCATAGTATTGGCCAGAAGTCCAGAAGAATGGATCATGGTCGAGGAATGTTAACAAGAATAATTGAATAAACATAGGGTTGACAGCCCACAAACAAAGCCAAACGCAGCAACAACAACAAAAAAAAAAAGCCCACAACAACGCCCACATCGCAAGGGCAGAAAAACCCTAGCACCTTTAAAGCATCATCTTGGAGCAGCCGTGCAGCAGTCGGAAAAGACGCTGCCACCATTACCGGCCAGGAAACAGAGAACTTCCCTAGCAAGTTGTTGACCACACTTTTCAAAATTCCTTCAGTATGTATATATACAACTCCGCCTGCTCCATCCACGAGTGAAAATCTTAGAGAGTCTACTAACAAGAAGACCATTAACACTATGTCACGCTTTGTGTTGAGCTCAAACCACCTTTTCCTCTACGGCACCGGCGATGGGACCATCGGAGTACTCGACATGGGAAGCGACCTCAACAATCCGGTCAGCCCCTCCAACAACTGGAAAACCGTCGCTATCATACCCTGCTGGACTATGGTCGACAACAACTCCGCAAAATCGATCAGCTACAGGGAACTGGAAGTGTTCGGGACGGCGATCGGAGGATCCACTCTGGAGAAATTGAGGGCCGATCTCTTCGACTCTCAGTTCCTGGTCAATCGGGAAGGCTACCAGGTGATGTACCACAGCAGGGACGGCTCGAAAGCTATGGTACTGGGAAAGTGCTCCTTCTGTCAGCTCAACAATATCTTCGGCTGGAGAAGGTACGGTGTGAAGCTGCCGGCGATCACCATGGTGTGGAACCGGTACGATCGGAGCAGCGGCGAGGCGGTGGTCGATTTGGAGGAATTGGGGGAGAGGGCAAAGAGACTGGGGATGGCGGTGGAAGAACAGAGTAAAGAGTTGGGTGATTGCAAATCTAGGTTGAAGGAGAAGGAGGAGATTCTGGAACACTACAAGAGGCTTTTGGAGGAGAGCAAAGAGGCGATGAAGGAGAAGGAGTCGGCGATGAATCGATTGAAGGAGGTGATCGAGGACAGGGATGGAGAGATTCGGCGATTGAAGTTGAGGTTAAAAGAGGCGGGTGGTAGTGGCGACAATGGAATTGGGACAACCGGAGGTGACGAAGAATTGAAAACTATTAGGGATCGTTTGTTTGCTAAAGAGAAGCAGGTGGACGATTTCAAGGCAGCTGTTAGATGCTTTTTCAGGACATAGAGAACTGAGAAATGCTTTGATTATGTTGTTCTAGTTTGGTAAGAAATGTGCTTGTGTTTAAGCTCTGTTCTTTTAAGTATCTCCCGAGTAGCCACATTTGGGGTATTAACAGGATTTGGGGCAAACTGACAAAAACGTTTATTGAAATTTGAATGAACAGTTGGACCTCTAAATACAAAATTTCAGCCTGTAGTTTCGGTCTTCACTAATCCACTCCTTGATTCTGGCTAATTTAGCTAACAACCTTAGTGACTTCACTCTCAAGCTCCAACTATCTTTTAAATTTGATTTGAACTAATTTGACACATGACATAAATAAAGGACATAAATAAATAAATAAAATGCCAAATCGATGCAATGTCACAGATGACCTTTATTTCGAATTTCCACGCTCCTATTTTTCTCGACACGACTTGGATTTAAACCGGACTTACACTGACTAGGTCTGTTTAGTCTTTCGACTCAATAATCAGCTCAGCTAACCTAGTGACAAGCCAGAGTAGGAAAGATGGAGAGCGTAAGCCCAATCATAAAAACACATCCCAAACACAATGTATCAGCTTCCAGTCCAAACCACTGCCTTCATTTCTAAGTAGGGCTTGAGCTTGACCACCTCAGCATATAATCTCCTCATTGTCTCGTGTTGAGGACTATAAATCGAGACCCAGAGCCACCTAACCGAATCCTTTAACACTTGGCACAATAGAATAGAGAATAGACTATCCTATTCCTTGAAGACCCAAAGAAAAAGAAATTTAAAAGCTCTGTAATAACTTGGTAACGAAGTAGATCCAGATGAGGACAAAACAGAGCAGTACCTAGAGGTGGCAATTAAGATCCAAATCCATGAATCCAATCCAATCCATCCACCAAATTATCCACCTAATTCAATCCATTTAAATCCAATCCATTTGATCCAAATCCAATTGGATTGGTGGATTCATGGATCAATCCATGGATCCAAATGGCAAATTACGATTTGGTACCTATATTTTTTACATTTTACATTTTGGTACCTAAAATTTATATTTTTATACGAAAAATATCATTGGAAAATTACATTTTGGTACCTAAAATTTTTCATTATGACATTTTAGTACCAAAACTTTTCAAAATTTACATTTTGGTCCAAGCCTTGGATGTCATTTGGATTCATGGATCAATCCACCAATCCATTTGATCCAATCCATGAATCCACCAATCCATTGGATCCAATCCATTTAATCCATTGATCCACCAATCCAATCCACGAATCCGATCCAATTGCCACCTCTACACGTACCTAAACACTATAATGGACTTCATTTCAATTCATTGTCAGCAGAAGAAAACACTCTGTGTGTTTCCATAATGAATATTCCCTGCCTGTCGGAAAAGTTTCTCCTTCCTTCTCTTTGCTTAACAAGCTGTCTAGCCTTTACTTGGGTCTTTGCCATATAAATCATTATTTGCCGCTCGTAGATTTATTATTTGCCGCCCATAGTTACAAAAAATATGACGAATTTGCCCTTTCTTTTAACTAACCCTAAATCCTATCAAACCCATCCCCTCACAACCTCCTCCCTCCTTCCACAACAGCCGCCGCCGCCGACCCCTCCATTCCTCCGACCTGGTTCGCCGACCCCTCCATTCGTTCGACCTCACTCGCCCCCCTCACCAAATCACGGGCGTTGAAGAGGAAAGAGCTCGCCGCGGGTGCTGTCATCGCCGACGTAGAGGAAGGAGACCGGTCCGACCGCCGGACGAGGACGGGGTCCGCTCTCCTTGCGCGGACGGGGTCCGAATTCTGGCGACGGACGGGGTTCGACAACAGGCGGCGGACGGGTTCCGAGATCCGGCGGCGGTCGGTTCCGAGACCCGACGGTTACTTTTTGTTTTTTCAAAAATCGTTTTTGAATTATTTTTATTTTTATTTTGTAAACAATTAATTATGAAAATTATCTTGATAAAGATGAGAGAGGATTATAGGGTAATTAATTTGATAAATACTTATTGACGAGCGCCAATTAGGGAAAAGACATTGTATTAATTTATTTATTTTTCCTAACTAACCCATGTCCTAATTAGCTTTACATTCCCCATAAAAAATAGCTATTACATTTCCCTAATCACTAATCTACTTGCACAAAACAAGGTACTGAATTGATTGAGCAATTAATTAGTGGACCGTTTCCATTATTAATTGACCTAATCACTAATAACTAGTATACAATGAATTCATTCGGAAAAAAGGAAGGTAACGCCTGACCTCCCAAGACTCAAGTCTAATTCCATTTCTTTATTAACAACCAAATTTTTTTTCCTTAATTAAAACACATGACAGTGATAAAATTATAGATATATTATTTTAATATATGGTGTGATCGGATTATAGTATAATGAGATTAGCATTTGATCAATAGTATAATGATATAATTAGTAAATTAGGTATATTCGTTAACTTATACAAAGAAGCAAAGCATCTCTTTCCCAATGTACATCTTCTACCCCTCCCAAACCCTAAACCCTTATTCCAACAAAATAGTTAACTGCAACCTCAATCCATTCATTCCTACTACGACATTGTTTTAGAAGCAAAATCATCTCTACCACCACTAACAACATTTGTTCGCATCATCGAAATACGCGTAGTAGACTCAAGAAACACCTCGTTACGATCCACGGAGCCTCCAAAAACTAAGAAGGAAATTTCGACACTATTCATCTTTTTTTTATCGGGACATTAAATCCAGAAACGGTTGATTCCACCACAATCCTCTCCACATTTTAAGGGATCGGTGAGGGTTTCAACCATTTTTCATGTCCATGTCTCTAGTAATTGCGAAAAGATATTTTTATTCGACCTTCAACAAGCCACAAAGAGCCCTCTCCGAGCCCCGATTCCTTGGATAATGTTTGATAAAACGTAGCTTAGGAATGATCTAATTAACTATGAAATTAATGTAATTAAAAAGGTTTAAACAAATTTAATAAGTATTTTATAACCATTCTACATAATTTAAATTAATTATCCATAATTTTTTAGAATACTTATGATAATTAATAATGAAATATACATACTTTTAGTAAGCATATTACAAAATACCAAAGAATATATTTTTTAAAATACTTATGATAATTTATAATTATACTTAAATATACATATTTAAATTAATTATATATTAATTGTTGATCTTATAACTTCTGGCAATTAGTTATTAAATAATGGATTATTAATTATTTTTTGATTCACCTCCCCATAGGCCATAACGGCATAACCCACGTCTAAATTCAGTTCTCTAATTAACTTACCAAATAATATTTTTACAATTTTTATTCTTAATGGCTTAATCCGACGTCCGTAATTTTTTCTCTTAATGACCCATAATAAGGAAATTGTTTATTATTAACTATTTTGCTCTTTGATTGCTACAACGGAGTTAAGGGAAACGGACTTTAATAATTAATTACCTATTCTAGTTAATTATGTTTCTCTTTAATTTCCTACAAATTAATTTTTATTTTTTGTATTATATAACTATAACTCTCACCATATTGGAATCCGAATTCCTTACTGGCTTACTGCCATGAATTTTAATTAAGGCAATTATTTCCCCTAATTAACAATAAAATCCACATTCAATATATTATTTTAGGTAGTTCCTGTATTTATGTCCGTCGGTTGAGTAGAATCAGTTTAGATAATTAAATAAAAAAAATAACAAAACGGTCGGGCGCCGTCCGCTCGCCGGGGTCGGACGGAGTCCGCCGCCGAAGATCGGAGGGAGGTGAGTAGGCAGAGGTGGTGGGGAGATAGACTCCTGGGTCGGGAGCAATTGGCGGCGGGAGGGAAGGCAGAGCCGGCAGCGAATTGAAAGAAGGGTAGAATTGTAATTTTATTTATAACTATGGGCGGCAAATAGTAATTCTTAGGGCGCCAAATAACACTCCTCCAAAATAAGAGGATTGTGGTGATTTTGGTCGATAGATATTACATTATTTAATTTGATCATTATAATATCTATCGAATAGTTTTATTTTATTTTATTTATTTTCCAGAAAACAAATGTAAAAATATCTATCGTATATGTGGCATAGTCAAATGTTTGAGTGTTTGCCACATCATCAAAAACCATCCTTCTCATTAACACATCATAGTCAACTAACAGTTGATCGAATGGAAAGTTAATAATTTGGTTATTAAATTATTTTCGAAAAGATTTGGCTAAAATGAAAGATTTGGCTATTAAATTGTATATTTATCCTTATTAAGAAACCATAATTCCATTAGTGACCTTTCATCTCCTTCCCGGGCAAGTCGTTGACCACACTTTGGAAATTTCCTTCATATATATATTCACTCCGCCAGCTCCATCCACAAGTGAAAATCACATCACTCACTACAACATAATCAGACTCTACCAACAAAAACACCATTATTACTATGTCACGCTTTGTATTGAGCTCAAACCACTTTTTCCTCTACGGCACCGGCGACGGGACCATCGTAGTACTCGACATGGGAAGCGACCTCAACAATCCAGCCAGCTCCTGCGACAACTGGAAAACCGTCGGTATCATACCCTGCTTCACTACGTTCGACAACAACTCCGCAAAATCAATCAGCTACAAAGATCTGGAAGTGTACGGGACGGCGATCGGAGGATCCACTCTGGAGAAATTGAGGGCCGATCTCTTCGACTCTCAGTTCCTGGTCAATCGGGAAGGCTACCAGGTGATGTACTACAGCAGCGACGGCTCGAAAGCCATGGGAGTCGGAAAGTGCTCCTTCTGCAGGCTCAACAATATCTTCGGCTGGAGGAAGTACGGTGTGAAGCCGCCGGCGATCACCATGATGTGGAACCGGTACGATAGGAGCAGCGGCGAGGCGGTGGTGGATTTGGTGGAATTGAGGGAGAGGGTAAAGAGACTGGGGGTGGAAGTGGAAGAACAGAGTAAGGATTAGGGGGATTGTAAATCTAGGTTGAGGGAGAAGGGGGAGATTTTGGAACACTACAAGAGGCTTTTGGTGGAGAGTAAAGACGTGATGAAGGAGAAGGACAAGGAGAAGGAGTCGGCGATGAATCGATTGATGGAAGTGATTGAGGACAGGGATGGGGAGATTCGGCGATTGAAGTTGAGGTTGGATGAGGCGGGTGGTAGTGGCGGCAATGGACTTGGGACAACAGGAGGTGGTCATTATATCATTACGTATGTATTGTGAATGTATACTTGTAGTGTACTAAAGCCCAAAACGTGAACAGGCCCATGCAGCCCATACAAGCTAGGAGTGACGTGAGGTAACCTAGTCTCTAGGGTTCGGCTGTATATATGTAGAGTAGTGTGCAGATGTTGTGATCATCAGTTTCTATTAGTCGATCATCAGTAAAATCAGTAGCTGTGAAGCTTTGACACTTCACCGTGGATTAGTCCTGGATATTCCAGGGATACCACGTATATCGGTTGTCTTTCTCATTTACTCAATTAAGTTTCTGTTGAATAATCATCATGGTATCAGAGCCTACACACACCGAATCCGAGAGACCTTCTTATCGTCTTACATTAGTCAATTATGCCTTGTGGGAATTTCAATTCCGCGTGTTCGTCGAGGGTCGGGGCCTGCATGGAATTCTCGACGGGACTGTATCGAGACCTCCTGCTGCGACGTCCACTGCTCAAGAAATTGCTACCTGGAATCAGAATGACGCTCGTATCAGATCTTGGTTGCTAGACTCCATGGATCCTTCGACTTGTCTCGGCTTGAGATTGTTTCGGACTGCAAATAGAATGTGGCGGCACCTCTCTTCCACGTACTCCACAGTTAGCGCTGCTTGTTTGTTCGAAATTCAATTGTCTCTTGTTCTTCTGGAATAAGGCGACAAATCAGTCGCAGAATATTTTAATCTGGCACAAGAATACAGGACGGAAGAAGATCTCCTGCAAGCAGCTTTTTGACCAAATACTGTCGTCATCATCGATGCGCTAAAGGAGAGACAGCGCACCCGACTTCTTCAGTTTCTGATGAGACTTCGCCCGGAGTTCGAAACAGTACGCTCGACATTGCTGAATAAGGAAAACTTGAAATTTGATGGCGTGCTGAGCACCTCAGTCCGTGAGGAGACTGGTTTCTGAACTCAAGCGCAAATCGATGTTCGTCCTGGCGAAGGTGAGACTTTCATTGCTGCTGGTGGTGCCTCACGGGGTACTTTTTCTGGCTCTCTTGCGCTGGCTGTAGACCGTTCTCAATTTCAAAGACAGCTTCCAAATTCAGAGCTTATTTGCCATCATTGTCGAGAGAAAGGGCACTTGCAAAAACACTGCAAACGCCAAAATTTCTGTGTGTATTGCAAGAGGATTGGGCACATAATTCTGGAGTGCCAAACTCGAGAAAAGAATGAGGCAAAATATGGCCCTCCAGCAGCTCGATATGGTCCTGGAGAATCCTCAGGTTATGGAGGAAATCGATCATCTTATGGAGCTTTCCCGGCTGAGTATACCAGCTGGCGTGGAACACCTGATGTTGAAGCACTCTGGAACTCTCGATTGGAATGAACAAGAAGAGAAGATGCAGAAAGGGAAGTCCAGGTTGCTGCAGCACGATGAAACCTCAGCAGGCGTTCGAAACGGCAGCTGGGTCTGAAGACGATTCGTGATATGGGGCGCGTTTCGTGACTTCGTCCCAGCTAACACCGAGACGTCGTCGTTCCTTTACTTTACCGTTGTAGTTAGTTTATTTACAGCAAATCTTCTGTTGCCACGTGTTTTGGTAAACAGTGAAACTTGAACGTTGGTTACTTTACTTTCAGTATAAATACAAAAGGTTCCCAGCTGTTCTCTGCTGAGGAAACCCTTCTGCAATTCTTCCATAAGCTTTGTAAAGCTTTTCTACATGGTATCAGAGCGGCAGTAGTCATGGCCGATCTTCCTCCTCCGAACACGCCGCCGCACGGAAGCGGGACAACCGGCGATCAACAATTCACACCTCCTTTCAACTTTGGAAGCTTCAACAGTGGTCAGCAAGCTCAAGGCTCTCGTCCAGGAAGTGGTCAAGGAACCAGATCTACAGATCCAGTTTTTGGTAATCCTTTTTACATCAACCCAAATGAGAATCTCGCTAATGAGCTGTACCCATTGTTCTAGATGGAACAAATTATCAGATGTGGGCTAGAGCCATGAAGGCAGTTCTTAAAACTAAGCAGAAGCTAGGGTTCATAGATGGTTCTATACCTGCTCCAGATAGATCTCATGAATTGTTTAACATGTGGGATGCGAACAATACGATTGTGTTATGCTGGATCACCAATTCTTTAGAGAAAGAAATTGCTCGAAGTGTCCAAACCCATGAGAATGCTCAGATTCTTTGAAAAGACCTTAGAGATCGTTTTGGGCAGGCCAATGCCATCAAGTTGTCAAACTTGGAAGATGAAATGCGTGCTTTCAAACAGGAGAATAGAACTGTAACTCAATATTACACTCATCTGAAAGGTCTCTGGGATGAATACAGTCAATTCAATCCCATTGTACCATGTCACTGTGCTCCCGGGAATCCTAATCCCTGCACAGCTGTTGAAGCGTTCAAGGAGAAGCAGAACACTGATTACTTAATCAAATTCCTCAAAGGTCTTAATGAAGACTATAGCTACATCAGTTCACAGTTGCTTATGATGAAGCCTTTGCCCACGGTTGTCACTGCCTATGATTATCTGCTTCAACATGAACAGAAAATCAAAACAGAAGGGAGTATTGGAAAGCAGAAATCTGGTCAGTCTGTGGCATTGGCTGTGGGGTCAAGTAACTCCAGTGGATCAAATGGTCCGCCACCTAGAAGCTATGATCGACCTGAAGGAGATGGTGAAAGACCAGGTGGTCTCTTTTGCAACTATTGCGAGAAGACTAACCATGTTATCAAGGACTGTTGGAGATTGAAGAAAAAGAGTCAGGACAGAGAAGGAATGCCAAGGAATCGGTTTGCTGGATCAGTTGGTCAAGGGTCTGGGAGTGAGGAAGGACAGGAGAGTGAAGGAAGACTTCAAGTTGAAACATCAAGCCTCCACACACAGAATTCAGGAGGATTCACAGTTGAAGAGATGAACAAGCTTAGAGGATTACTGCAGTCCTCTAATTCAACCTCACCAACCTCGCCTCAAAGCCCTGTGATCAACCACAGATCACACTCAGTGACAAACTACCTACCAAAGTTTCCCAGTCATGCAGGTAAATTTGTGCTCTCCTCTCACAGTCATTTAAATTCTGCTCATAATTGGATTTTGGACACTGGTGCATCAGACCACATAGCATGTTCCATTTCATCATTCACTCATACCATTCCAGTGTCTGATGTGTTTGTCTATCTACCTAATCGAGCCAAAGTTCCAGTTAGTCATATAGGTTCTGTTCAGCTCACAAATGACCTATTCCTTCACAATGTCCTTCTAGTTCCAAGCTTTACATTCAATCTCGTGTCAGCCAGTAAATTGACTCACGATCAACCCATCTCACTCCATTTTCAATATGCCATTTGCCATATTCAGGACCTCATCACAACCAAGATGATTGGTTTGGCGACAGAATGTAGAGGTCTCTACCACATCCTTCCATCAACACATACTCAGAGTCCATCCACCTCACAAGTTGCCTCTGTTTACAACTTTGAACCTCAGAAGATTGATATATGGCATTGGCGTTTAGGTCATCCTAGTCAGAGTCGTTTTCAGCTTATCCAAAAATGTATTCCTGCTATTCCTTTAGAACAAGTTAAGCATTGTGAGCACTGTCACATGTCAAGACAGAAAAGACTTTCATTTTCTCCCAGTGATAACATTGCCTCAACTGTTTTTGCTCTTATTCATGTGGATATCTGGGGTCCACTTTCAATTCAATCTCATGATGGTTTCTCCTACTTTCTCACCATTGTTGATGACCATTCCAGAGCAGTTTGGATCTATTTAATGAAAAACAAATCAGAAGCTAGACAATTGTTGGTTGGTTTCTGTAATATGGTTCAAACTCAATTCTCAAAATCTGTCCAGATAGTTAGAAGTGATCAAGGGAAGGAGTTCTATATGTGTGATTTCTATTCAGAAAAGGGAATTGAACATCAAACCTCCTGTGTTTACACACCTGAACAAAATGGGAGGGTAGAGAGAAAGCACCAGCACATTTTAAATGTTGCTAGAGCTTCGAGATTTCATTCAGGTGTTCCACTTGATTTCTGGAGTGATTGTGTCTTACACTCTGTGTACCTGATAAACAGACTACCAACTCCTATCCTTAACAATAAATCACCATATGAAATCTTATATCAAGTCCCTCCTTTCCTTGGAAACCTCATGGTTTTTGGCTGCCTGGCTTATGCCACTACTCACTCTCAGGGGAGAACTAAACTGGACCCTAGAGCTAAGCAATGCATCTTCTTAGGATTTCCCAGTGGCATTAAGGGATGCAAATTGTTTGATTTAAACTCACATCAGTTCCTAATCTCCAGGGATGTGATATTCTATGAAGATATATTCCCCTTCAAAGGGAATTCTTCAGAAACAGCAAATGAAATTCAACAAGATTCTTTACCTCCAGTGTTCCCCACACCAATCAGTTCATATGATAGAATCCCTAATGTCAATAGTCATTCACCTGATAGCAGTCCCCATGTCAGTAGTCCTCCTTCCAAACAGCAGTCAAGTAATCAGCCTAATTCTTCTGATAGGATCCCACATGTCAGTAGTCATCCTTCATCGAGTCAGTCTAAATTCACTTCTGAGTCTGATGCATCATGTAGCCAGGATTTGATAAATGAGTATGAACATAGTGATGAGATGCATGATGTAGACATGGAAGTAGAAATTGATGAACCTGAGATTGAACCAATGGAAGAACAGGATGCAGAACCATTGGCAAGAACCAGGCCACACTGAACCACTAATTTATCTGCTAGATTGAAGGATTACTACCTGAATTCAGTTAGTCAATATCCTATGTCAGAGTATGTGGGGTATGAATTACTCTCACCAGAAGCAAGGGCATATGCAATGAGCATTACTAATCAGATTGAACCTAAGTGCTATGATGAAGCTAGTAAGGATGAAAATTGGGTAAGGGCCATGAATGAAGAACTGCAGGCCCTCCTGGAAAACCAGACATGGGATATTGTGGTGCTCCCACCAGGGAAGAGAGCAATAGGATGCAAGTGGGTTTTCAAAGTTAAACTCAAGCCTGATGGAAGCATAG